CTCCTCAGTTTCAGCAAGCAGGGTTGTGTCATCTGCATAACGCAGATTGTTAATAGATCTTCTACCAATCCTGACACCACACTTCTCCTCATAGAGTGCAGCCTCCCAGACAATCTGTTCTGCATACAGGTTGAAAAGGTATGGAGATAGGACACATCCCTGGTGTACATCTTTCCCAGTTTTGAACCATGCAGTGTTTCATTGCTCTGTTCTAATGACTGCCTCTTGGTCCAAGTATAGGTTTTGCATTAGCACAATCAAGTATTCTGGGATGAGGTAGAAATACTACAAAAAAGGAGACTATAGATTCGGGTCCAGACTTCATGGGCTTTTCTTTTCTCGTTCACATGCAGAGATGCTGAAATCTGGGTTTCTGAGCCCTGCCATGTTGCAGGGGATAGGGCCAGGAAATTGTAGTTTCTGGTTCTGTGCTGTTATAGTGCTTAGCCAGGACAGGCCACTCTGAATCCCCTCAGCAACATTGTTCTCCTCTGTCAGTGATAGTGACCTTGGCCAGTTGTATTTGCTGTGAGATTTTTGTAATTCAACTCTGAGAGGGGGAAAATAACTTTAAGATTTAGTGAAACAATAGAGTCCTAAAGGACGTCATATCATATCCTGTCTGTGTAAGATGTAACTACTGGAAAATGAGAAAATCTCCATTTACTCCCTCTTCTTCTAACTTGAGCTGTTAGAAAGCTTGCAGCTCGATTTGTAGGGCAAGGGCTTTGTGACATTGATCTTGCGTGATAGCCTAGTTTCTGAGTCTATTCCCGCCCCCCCCCCGCCTCTATATTTGTTGTACCTTTTGACTCCTAATTTAGCCCATTTTACTATAGTGTGTGCACCTTGATGTAAGTAACCTTTGACATGTTTTGGAACTGGTTATTGATGAAGAGCAAAGCAAACAAATATTGCCACAGAACTTGCTGACTTATTTGAGTTTCAGAGCAAGAGTGTGAAGCATTTGTGCTGACAGGAGAAGTTTAGGCCCCTTTACTTCCCCAATGTGGGTAATACTTTGCTTTCAGGCACACACTTTGAGGTCTTAGGACCAGGTGGGAGGTAGAAGAGAGTGAATTTGATCAGCTCGTTGGCTAAATTACACATAATTCTTAGATGATACCATTTATTTTTTTAAATTTTTTTTAAAAATTATTATTAATTTCATTGAACATTTACAGAGACTTTAGATTTCCATTCGTTCATTGTTGCACTTTTCTCCCCTCCCAACCCTCCCCCCTAGTACACTACCCTCTTGGAAAAGTAAAAGAAAAATTCTTTCATTGTTTTATAAAGCCTCCCCCAGGTCCACTCCACTATGCAGCCTTTGCTCTGGACTCCTGTCATGACAAAAATACCTAATTACATATCCCTTTTAAACAGTTTTCTCCCTTGTCTGTTTCAGTGCAGTATACATTATTGAACCCATCTTTTTCAGTCTCCCTGCAGCCCCGAGGTCAGTCCTGTTTTACAACAGTGGCACTGTGCAGTATTTGTCCTTTTGTAACTGAGATACTTCAGTCAGCATAATGTCCTCCAGGGTCACCTATTT